GCTTTGACTACTGGGCTTAGCGCCAGTGGTGGTGCTTTACCGCGGACCCCACAAATGCACAATCGGCTGCGAAGACGACAATCACGTGAACTGCAAATACAACAAGAAGAAATGGCTCATTTGAATCGGCAAGCAACGGCCGGTATGACTACAACAACCGGAGGTGTAGAGCCTACAGTGGTGACCAGTGCAAGTGGCGCTGGCGCATCGGCAAATAGTGAAGCACACGACACACAAGAAAGACGCAAACCTGAACAAATGCGCTCAATATCGGAAGACTCGGGTGCGAAAACAAATCCACAAAAACCAGTCACAAGACGATCGTTATCACATCCTGAAAAAGGGACACAAGTAAGCACACAAATTTAATTTGAAAAATTTCTTTTTTGATTGTCGTCCTCTTTATCTATTTAGTTCAACAAGAAGGTTGAGCCCACTAAAATACCGAGTCCGAAACCGTTGGCTGATATTTTAGATAAGACACGAACTAACACGAAAATACCAACGCCTCGACGACGTAATAGCCGTGACACAAATGGTGCCGATACAGAAGATGGTAAGTAAAGAGTGACTAAGTTTTTAATTATATACGTTAAGTAAGAAAAACATGCTAGACACCAAACCAAACAAACACATAATTTGTTGAGTTCACTCGGTGAGCATTATAAAAGGAAATTTTACACCCAAATGAATCATTAACACGAATCCCGATCTCGTCCAATATCCCACAAATTTTATGTAAGTGCAGAGGGGAGCAAACTGTCTCTTTGGAAAACGCCTATAGCAAATAAGATAACCCAAAGAAGAAACACACGGACGATTCTCGAACCTTTCCTAAGGTTTTTCACGTTATTCGTATCCAACCACTCAACTAGAGTTGCATTAAAACGACATCTCTCGTCTTCAGATCAGGATATGCCTTCTATCTAGTCACTATTCTAAGCAGGTAACTTACTTAAAATTATGCTGCTTTGTTTCTCTTATTGCGGAGTTGTTTGCAATTCAAACTTTAGTAATAACTTTTCCTCCAATCACTCCACCTCAGCTCCAGTTAACACAATTAATAAAACATAAAGGTGTTTAGATAAGTCTGCAAAATGTTTTCGGCCCTAACATAAAATTCCTAATATAGAAGATTGACAGCTTGCGAAAATAGATAGAACGAAGCAATGAAATTGCACGAAATTTGAACGGGTAATATTTACCTACTAGGAAACATCGTTGCAGGTAGGTTTAACAGCCAAATATTTAGCCTAATTCCAGTATAGAAAACTAAGTTGGGGACCTTACATCGATGGAACTATCCAGCTGTGTAATTCTGTCTCAGAGCTATCGGCAAAAATCGAAATCTGGAACCAAAGATTGCTGCATAGATGGTTTTCCTACGGACTAGTAGTTTGGGGGGAAGCTCTCAATAAAAAAAGTATCAGGAAAATGGACAAACTTCAGCCACAGGCTTTTCTACCGATAACATGGGCAACGAAAGCAAAAGCCGCCCAAGTTCTTATTAAGTTATTAAACTTTCTTCCCATAGTTTTATAAAGTTTTATTGGCAAAACTGCGACTTACTCTCTTTAACCGACACTACCAACACCAAGTTAATGACCAGATTTAGCCTAAGATAAGATAAGAGATTGGACGCCGGCAAAAGAGGATCAATCCATTTTTACAAGGATGAGTCAAAAAATGGCAAGAAGTTTAGAGGTAATGTTTGCTCAGAACAATTATATTTTCGTTAGTACAGTGTTTTTCTAGCGGATTTGATGGCTACCCCAGGGGCCGCTAATGGTATTCCCCTTGAGACATGTAAACATTTAAACGCAATATTATAAGAAACTATCAATGAAGGATTGTAAGTGAAACCTAATAGCAACATCGTGTTAAACTATAAATGCTCAACGAACAAAGTGTATGTTTAAACTAGGGAGGCGTTATATCATCTTATTAAATCTGGCGTTCTTAACAGACATTGATATTCGACTATCAATCCTGAATTAACAAACAACTTTTTATCGATCGGATATAAATGAGTGGTGGGATTTCATCTCCAAATAAATACGCTGCGGAAGATGTGGGTAGCTGTGGTGCGTTTGATGAAGAGGAGTATGCTCACGTCCCATAATAGCCGAATTAAGCAGAATTTGTCTGATGAATGCGGACCCGAATATTTTAATCTCACCATACTTTTTCCTGTGCACAAGCAGAGAAGCCATCTGTTTGCGTCCCTAGAGGAGTGAGCGCAGCTTGGACCAGGAAGCAAATGAGTATGAGAGTCGGAAGCATAAGCAACCAAAATGATGTAAAAGTGGTTAACGAGTTCACAGTTAGAACTTCGAAGTAGAGAACGGATTTGCCTACCAAGGGACTACCAAGGACCCAGCATTAGCACCGCAAATAATGTAAGCCTTGAGATGAAACAAAGAATATCCTTGCCAGCGGGTACTACTACAGGTTCGGAAGGCAATTGAAAAGCAAAGTCCTTTCTAGACGAGCAAAATTGTTTATACATTTGGCGCAGAAACATGGTCGAAGTCGAGAAAAAGATGAGTAATCTTTTCGGGCTGGCGAGAGAACAACGGCCGTCTTGGGCCAAACCGACAAATTTTGTAGTGCAAAAAAAAAATAAAGGAAAAGACCGAACGCACCGTCGAAGGACTCTTGCGGAAACTTACGGGAGGAGGATGAAGGTTAAACAAGTCAAATTCATCTCTGTCACTGACAGAAATTAGCTATAAGGAAAGCAAAAGCTCTTGGTGGTTATTTATTTCTACTATGATCTGAAAGTCCTCAGATCAATAGATATTAGGAACTTATCCCCAACTTTGCTTAGTACGAAGTAATTCTTAGTGCCGGCTGCTGTGGTGTAGTGGTTAGCAGTGAGCCACATCGTTCCGTAGGGCCTGGGTTTGAGCCCACGTCAAAAAAAAAAACAAATACTTCTAATAGCGGTAGCCTCCAGCAGGCAATGGCAAAGCTCTGAGCGTTTTCAACCATGAAAAACAGATTCTCAAAAAAAAAATACAATCGCCGGTCGGCCCTTTGTCTAACAAAATCAAGGCGTACGCCACAAATTGGAGGAGAACCTCGGTCAAACACCAACATATTGTGTAAGGACCAATCTATTATTATTAAGTGTTTTTAGGACAACCCCAAGCGGTTCCACAAAAGTCCCTGAGTCCAAGTGAGTCCCATCAACTCTGCCTTAAAACATTAATTAACGTTCGCCCATGCCATTGAATAGTTTCGAGACCAAACCCACAAACAAACTAGAAAAAGTCTAACATTCCAATATTTGCATATTCTTAAATATACTTCTAATTTCTAAGGCATAAATGAAATGTTTTCTGAAATACCTTATACTATGACCTACTAATTAATTCATTGGCTTCTGACTCGCTCCCCTTATCTACAGGTGCCAACAAACCCTATTCGAACGAAAGACGAAACTCCGATGTATCTCTCAAATCAGCAAATAAAAAACATGAACAACAACAGCATACCGGGGAACAAAAATTATCATTGCCATCTACAAAATTGAATGGCAACAACAAGTCGCCAGAGAAAAAAGATGAATTCAAAGAGAAGACTAACAAGACAAAAGACAGTGACAGCAATGATCAAGCAAAAAGTGCTGATGAAATGCAAAAACAGAATCCAACAGTTGACACGACAGAAGGCAATAAAGGCGTTGCAACGACAATTCCCAAGGTGAGTTATGGAGATTATGCTACACATAGTGGAAAGAGTGAGTAATGTCAATCTCCCTTACGTATTTCCTGTTGGTTGGTCTAACCAATGGACTTGTACAATGCCTGGCAGGAAATATAAATGGTTCATTCATAACAATTTTGTGGTTCGAAATTTAGCTTTCGTAAATTCTCTTGATACATCCCTTATTTTATAATTTTTATAAATATTTATGTAGTTTCTCATTTTCATTAGTGTACATACTTTTTCTTTGCTCTAACTAAAGCAACACACAACTACTTTGGGTGAACAGGAGATACAGAATGCTGTGGAAGCAGCAGCCGTTGTATTTAAAAAGGTCGTACTGCAACGTCGCCAGGAGAAAAAAGCAGCCGAGGAGGGTAAGTTTTGCATTTATTACGCTAATTCTACGCTTTAGTAGTTACAAAGTAGCCAATGATTTTGTTGTTGGCTTTGACTAGGGTATATGCTATGCAGCTAATTACGTGCGCTTTCTGGTGATGGTATAATTATACATACATACAAAAAATTCTGTATAAAAGTTACGCTTTGGTGGTGGGCACTTATATATATATATTTCTATAACTGTAAGTAATTTTTAAGCAAAAAACAAAACCGACTTCAATTCTCAAGTACAAATTTCTCCTTTTTTGAAGTCGATTAAAAACGCATTTAAGTTATAACTCTACATTAAGCTTTTCAGGCGTTCTGGCTTTCGGCACTCAAGCCGTTACATAAAACTTATACGTGCATAAAATGCTGAAAGACTGAAAATTGCCGACTGCCTGTAAAGCTTGGTGTAGAGTTGAACTTTTACTCCGAGCTAATATTTATTTTAGTGTTCTAGCTAGCTCTTGGTTCAACTATGTAAATATGTAAACAGGCACAGGAAAATAACATCCATATACATACATATATATGTATTTTAGCGCACTTTTTATTCACATCTATCGGTAAATATGTATATAGTTCGGCACTATAACTGCACAGAATGAAAGTAAATCTTTTCACTTGCCCTTTTCGACAAGCTAATGATATCCTTTAAAGAAAAAGGTGGATGCATCACGTACATTATGGTGCAACATCAAAAAAACGTTTGCGGTTTTCCACTGGAACTAAAAATGTAATATATTTTTCAAGATTTACGTGAGATAGACCAATTTGAAATTACCTCCAAACATCTCAATATTTTGATTGCATTGATAAGATTTTTAAACATTTTCATGTAGATCTTTTAAGCATAAACTCTTCTATCAACTGTGATGATTTTTTAGAAATTTTTTTTTTACCAATGCATGTACAAACAAAATCACTTTTAAGGTATTTTCAAATATCTCAGCTCAGTTAAATCTTAATATTTTCCTAAAATTATAAAAAAACTAGATTGCCTTCACCTGCTTCGCTGAGTGTATAAAATGTTTGCGTGTTACATTAAGCGAAATTTATTTAAACAAACTTGAAAGCTTGAGATTCAGCCAAAAACAAAGGAGATCTTCAAATTTTTTAACCCTCTTTAATATGTTTTCAAACTAAATTCTTCTTAAGCTTCTTTAACTCAGACCTAATTTGAGTTCTTAAACAGGTGGCAACCCTGTTATATGTAGTTTAGAAATGATAGTTTTTCTAAACCATTTTGATTGATACCTGTATTGTAATAGATAATTCAACTTATTAAATAATTTTAAGTGAATTTAATTTAAAAAAAAATTGAGAATTTTGTATAATTTAAATGAATTCGACTTTCAAGTAGGTGGCAACCACCTTCAAAATGTTTCAAAGAGATGGCAACCATCGTTCATGTAGTTTAGAAATAAAGCCTTTTTAAAACCATTTCGATTGATACCAATAATGCAATAACTCATTTCAAACAGGCGGCAACCCTTTTCAAACGCCTTAATAATATCCTAAATGTTGAAGCTAAAGGTTGCTTACAATTTTTTCGTTTAACCCCTATGTGTGAATTTTTCATATATCTTGTGAACAATTAATTTAAATTAAAGAGTAAAGATTTATTTTTTTTTGTATGGGAGTAAGGCACCCTAATGTACATACGCCTTTACGAATTAGTTAGTTGTTGAATATTAATATAACAAACCCGGTTTTCCTCGCTCAAAACAACTAAAAACCGAGGTGATTTCTCTTGAAATATTACCAAAAGTCGCTTTTCTTTCTCTCCTCTAAACATACTCTTTCATTACACTGTGGAACAAATTCAGGTTAGCAAAAGTTAGGTCGATTCTGAGAGTGAGGGGTGAAAATAGAGGCTAAATTAGAAGACCCGTATCGCGGCGTTTGTTTATGTTAGTTCGAATTCAAATGCCGATTTTCAGCATATTGTTTATATGGTTTTTTGGCTATAACTCGTCGACTAATTGATATTTTTTCAACCTGTTAAAGCCAAATTATTGCTAGAGACCTGTGCAACAATTAAAATTAAAAAAAAAATGATTTAGAAAATTTTTGTAGTGCTTATGAAGCAAAAGGTTGGAAATTTTTTCATGCTTTTAGAACATATTTTCCACAAAACTAATACCATGTCCCCACCGGAGCTAACCACGTAGTTATGGCTAATGAGTTGGTTATCCCGGTAACCCACTTGATTTAGCGTAGTTTCGCCATATAAAAATGACAACACATAACCATTTCACTGAGATGGTTAAAAGCTAACCAACTCGAAACCACGTCGAGAGCCTGATACAACCCTGTGTTTTCCCGCCATCTGTGGGTCATTAGCGTTAAAATGTAATACTAGGTTCACATATAAGTAGATTATCCTCATTTTCGAGCTTAACACCCTAATCTGTAATTATAACAAGAGATTAGCCATATAAAATTCCTCCCTTGTTAATCTGTAATTATAAAATAATCTCAGATTTAACCGATATCTTTTCGGTGTCCATCCTAGTTTTATCGATTGTTTTTGCGAAAGAGAGGAGAAATGCCAAATGTAAAAGTAAACAAAAATGTACGCTAGAAAGTAAAAGAGGTTTGTAAAGGTATTTTTAATAAAATGTTAAGTTAAAATATATTTATATTGCTTATTATGGCAGAAAAACGTGATCACGGTGGCACAGAAAAGAAACATAAATTTTCCTTGAGATGTGAGAATAACAAGCACAACAAATTTGACGGCTAATAATCTGAGATTTGCCTGTGTAAACGGGGTGATTAAAAAACGAGCTTTGGTTGAGATAATATTGATATGTGAACATAGTTTAAAAAAATCGTTCCCTACTAGTGTTCGGACTTAACTAAGATCAGATAAAATTGACTCCGGTTTTTTAAAAAATTTTAAATCTACTCCTCTATTCCGCTTGACTTCAAATCTATTCCGATTTTTTTTCATTCATGTTATGCCCCTCTTGGGACCGTGTTTTGAGTGTTCACCACCGATTTCAGTAAAAAAATTGAAAGTTAGCAGAACTTTTTTGTTAATATGTAGAATTAAATTTATATAAAGTAGAAAAGGTTTAGATCCTATTGCTCTTTAAAAAATTAAGTGTTAGATACGGTCTACTTCCTAGAAAATGCTAAAAATTACCTAATTACATTTTATCCTTACATTGTCTCGCGTTCTTATTTTTGCATGAATAGAAAATATTTAAGTCAACCAATTAATGTCAAAAACGAAAATAAAAAAATCAATCTAGTACGGAAAATTGGTTTTTGTCCGATTTTTGCAGTCATTTAGTCCTAAATCGAGTTTTGCAGGTCCGAACACTGTTCTTTACATTTTTACTGTTTTATAAACCTCAAACCGCAGTGAGGACAGCAATAGTTAGTGATGTGGTTTAGTTCGATTTGAGATGGTTATTTTTTTGGTGGGGACATGGTATAAGTCTTTTTTGCTTTCTGTTTGATCTATAATATGCTTCTCAGTTTCTTCAATAAATTGCATTTGAAAAGAAAACAATCATAATACAAAACTTGCGCTTTCCAGCTTAATATTAATTTACTTCGCATTTCTTATGTACCAATTTTTTCAGTGTTGGTTTTGAAGAAACATTGAAAAAGAAATTATAAAAATATGGAAAAAAATATAGTTTTGAAATGTTAGTTATGAAAAGTTTTAAGTAAAAAAATTAAATTAATTAAATTAATGATTTGGCCAGTTGCCGTTTAGCAGGCGGCTGTGGATCAACATCACTGCTCTCTCTAATATCTTGGTCATCGTCATCATCATCAGAAAGGTCGATAATTTCGTCCAACAGATATTCTGGAATTTCATCTTTGTCTTCCCCTTCTTCCTCTT